AAACCTGTTCCCCTGTACCTGAGGACTAATCAGTGGCTTGTGTGATTCAGTGCTACTGAAATAATATCCATATGACAAAATAGGATGGCAGCACAGAACCCAAATGGAAACCAAATTGTTACAGCCTTCAGAGCAAACATCCTACTTAAAGAATCTGTAACACCAATTAGCATCCAATTGAGGTGCTGCAGAACAAACACTTGATTTAACTGAAATAACTGCAGCCTGTATTGCTGTGAAGGCCTAGAGGACTGTTAAAGACCAACAATCAAAATTGCATAGTCTCTACCCTACAGCTTTTACGTTTGAGAATAATGGTGGAGATCAGAGGAAAATTATGTATCTGGCTCTCCTGTAGGCCTCAAAGCTTTTAGCTTTTAACTCACTATAATGTGCAAAGCTACAGTAAGATAATGATGGTATTCTGGCATACAACTAATGGCTCCTGAAAATTTGTTATCCTCATTTTGTCATGATTGCTCATCTTACAGATAATTGTTTTTACTATAGTCTGAATTTTGAAATTTGAATCTAGTATAGTTTATACAGTCTGGTAATTCAGAGCTAGACAGACTAGCCAGCAGGCTTTCTACTGGAGACAAGAGTCTGTTAATTAAAACATCAGTCTTGGTTCCAGATAATACATCAAATCCGTCCAGTGTGCTGTTTTTCCCAGGAGACTTAGCTGGTACCTGAGTTTGCTTTGGGGTTTCAAGCTGCTGGGGGTAGAGTTAAGCATTCTGCTGCTGAAGGCCATAGGGGGTTTGCTCAGGGATTCCAGGGAGGGGCTTTTTCGGAGGTAATGGTCCGGTTTCAGCTCTTCGTTTCTCCCCTTCAGAAGGTCTGTGGGAATTGAAAAAGAAAAAAAAAATGCTGCCAGCTTGCAGTCTGAGGAATTTGATTAATTACTGTCCTGCCACCCAGCACACAATATGCAGTCTGTTGTTTTGATTCTAAACAAATGTACTCATTTGTTCATTAAACACACATGGGGCTAGGAAACCTTGAGCAGATTAGAGGTGATCATAACAAGGAATGGCTTTGATGACTTCAACAATACGGACTGCCTGGTTTCCTGTGATTGATACTCCTGCTGGGGGGTAGGGGCCTCAGGTGAATGAGGGGAAATACCAAAATCTACAAACTGAAATGTTCAAAAGCTGATTACCAGATATCTTCACCAGAGGTCTGACCAGCCCTAGTATAACACTTGCTTTTCTCTGCCACCAGAAGACATGCAACATGAAAGCCTCTTCGCTCCTGAATGCAACCAGTTCAAGGCAGCAGTAAAAGGCATTTTTTAGCACACGATGCCTGCCATCCTATGTAATATGACTTTGGGAGCTCTCAATATGTTCATAGGAAATGCAGCTGTATTATTATTATTATTTACATCTATTACGCATTTACATATATTATATATTGTTTTTATTATATGGTTATACATATAAAATCCACAAAATTAGTAGACATGGAATCCGAAGTTGATAAGTTTTTGAACAGAAGCCAAGGAGATCATAGAAATCAAATTATCTTCATGCCTCTCAATTATCAAGTAGAGTGTTGGGTAATATTGGGAAAACTGGTGTTTTCTTTTCGGCAGACAAGCTGTCAACAAGCCAGAATCTATGAGCAGCACACTATGAGTTGTTATCAAAAATTAAGTGAATGCAGATCATTTAATATTCTCGCTTCCTTTTCACTTACTTCCCCATATTAATTATTAAATAATTTATGCCTAAGTGTATGAATTCCTCTTCTTATCTTTGTTTCAGCAAAGTGTACTATCACTGCATCGGTCCTACATTTATTTTCAGCAGAAGTGTTACAGCATTTGCCAGACAAGCACGTTGTTCCAGATGGCTCTGGAACCTTTTCGTACTTTAGAATATTCTGTTTAGAGAAACAGATCTACAACAAAGGGCATATCAATAAATAAAACCAAATATTATGAGGAGGAATGAAGGTTTCTCACTAGCCTGTAAGGAAGTGCACTGTTAAACTGTCATTAGCATAATTGAGCTTGGCTAATGGCATGATTCAAATAGGAAATGCTGAGCCAACCAGTCAGGATGCATTCAAGCATGGTGCAAGAAAGAAAAGGATGGCTCCCAGACAGGAATAAAAGCTATTGGAAGCACATAGCTACAAAGAAAAGAAGGGAGAGATGAGGGCATATAAGGAGCAATTTGGAAAAAGAAATGGGATAATAATCACATGAAAAATACGCAACATGATTACGGAAAAAAAAATCACATCCTGTTAGCATGATCAGTTTGCATGAACTAAAACAAACTTTGTGGTTACTGGCTTAAATTATACAGAAGTGCCTGAAGTGGTGCAGGCAATGCTATCCAGCTCTGTACTTTGTGTCTCACTTGCATGAATAATACACTTCCTCTGACTTGCTTCGTGCTGCTAGAAACTCCAGGACAGAATCAGTCAAATTCTGATTCTAACTGAAAAGATCATACTCAGATCATCACTCTCTGCAAAGTAATCTACTCTCCTCTTCAACCACAGCACATTTGGGTCAGATTAAGGACACCACAGGACGCTGCTGTAATATTAGTCAGATAGAATCAGCCAGAAGATTATTATCATGGAGACTACTTCAACTCTGAATTTCCTTGGGGATATTTTTTAATTCAGTCTTGTTTGCACAGGACTTGGATCAACTGCCTTCTAGGGTTATTTAGATTGGAACCAGAGCTATTACAACTTCATAGTGAGAAAGCACTTGCAATGAATTACTGGGGCTAAATCAAATCCAGGTACAAAGAGAAATGATAGACATAGGAAGTCATTAGGTAAGTGACCATAAATTTTAACACACAATAGTTAATCAAATATCTGTTGATTTCAATGGATTTCCATAGAACAATAGTTTATAGGTAATAACAGCAATTATCCACATCCTGACCTGGGATATGTATTATTAAGGACTCGAAATACATCACAGTTGACAGATTGCTTCACCATGGAATGAATCGATAGAGATTTTAAGAGTCTTGTGTTCTGTGTAGGATCAGAGCACATTTTCATGCAAGAGATTTCCTGGAAATCAATTGATAAATCTAAGTAAACTATCTGTTCCACTAATAACCTCTGCTCAACTATCATTTACTCATACAGAAGCTGGTAGCACAGACTACAAAAAACAAAGATGTTGTTTATGTTGCCATCCCTGTAAGCTGCTTTGCTGTTCAGATCCGGTATCTTTTCATTTTTGAATGGCGGAAAGGGCATTTTACCAAAGTATCTGAAGAGTTTAAAAATGAAAGCGGGTTCCAATTTCTCCCTGTATTAGCAAACTTACTGCAGAAAATTCAATCTACCACTGAAGAAGTTGACTGATCCTTTTTTCTCTCCCTATAGTTTCAGTTTGACTACATGAATATAATTTTTCATCTGTCTTCACAGATTTGGTCATCTATTGGTACCAACTTCAATTCCAGTGCAGTAACTAAATTCAAGACTAGATAAGCAAAATAAAGGGCCCCAGAGAAAAGGGGAAACAGAAATCAGTAAAAAAGAATGTTAAGAGAACAAAAGTGTGAAATAAAAACAAGTGCATCTCTTGAGAACTCTCAAAACAAACTCTTTCAACCCTAAACATGACTGCTCCTAAAATGGTCCCATCTGTATCTGAAATGTTTGATGTATTTCAAATGAAGCTCAATTCAAAAATATTCAGGTCCCCAAAAGACAGTGTTTTGGACTTGTTCCAAACACACATACACTGAACAAAATTCAACCCTCTCCAGTTCCACAGCATGGATTAGAGAGGTGCCATGGATACTTTGGAATAAAGAGGGCAAGTTTGTGTTGGCAAACCCTAGTGCATCAGTTGTTTTTTTTTTTTCTTTTTCTTTTTCTAAGGCTACAATCAAGATGGGAATGGAAACATGACAACATCAATAAGCTCCTTAAGACAGACTCTAAAGACATATTTTCGTGTTTTCTTTGACCATATGTGAAGAGGAAAAGTGGCCCAGAAGGACTAACAGTTAATGACAATGCTGGCAAAAGCAGCAATATTTGTACATTTACTGCAATTTACCTGCAAGTGGAAGGTCTGAAAGATCTGTGTGCTTGACAACACCTTTGCTGGCTGGCTTTGTGTTATTATAAACAGAATGTCTCTGTGAAACAAAAAAATGTATAAAAGAGAATTAAAAAATACTAGCCATCATACTCATGCAGATGTTTTTCATTCTTACTACCAATAACTAAAACTTAATTTCTAGATAACTGTGATTAAAGTTCAGAATTGTATTCCAAGGAGTTCACATCCGTCCACTGAGACCTCTAAACCGAAGTCAAAGGCAAACTTTGATCCTTTTTGTTAGTACTAAAGCATTTGATGTTCCACAGCAAATAAACAGATGAGTTTCCCTTTCCCCTTGTCCACATACATATGTTGGCACACTGAAGCTGTGTCATTCAAACATGGCATCTATCCATTCTCCAAGTATCCATTCTCCAAGCTCTCCAGTGATTGAAAGAGTTCCTCGTACCTGCATGGGGGAAACAGCAGCTGCAGGGGCTGTCCTCACTGGAATTCCACTTAGAGGGCTCCTAGGGACCTTTTGAACTGTGATGTTTTGTCCAGTGCTACCTTTAAAGAAAAAGCATAGAAACGATTGTGTTTCAAAACCAGCCATCTTCCTCTCAGCAGAACCAATGACACAGTGACATTTCACAGATAGTACGTCTGAACCAAGCACTGACAGAACATTTCCACTAAGCAGCAACACAAAAAAAAATGACAAGAAATACATATTCATCACTCAAAAAGAAGGAAAAAAACCCCACTACAGTATACAGCATACCTGAACATCCTAAATCAAATGATTTTATCAGCGACTTCACAGTGGCTGCAGATTCTGATGGCGTGGGAGATGCCCTGCTAATGCAGACTCCTTGCCAACGGTTGGCTGTATCTGCCTCTATAGATTCTACCTCTTCAGCTGTCAGCCTGCAAAGCAGAAACCAGAGCAAAGTCAGCAGCAACAGGAAACACAGGCAGAAACTGCAGGTCTTCACGTGTAAGGCAAATCTAACGATGCAAATCTTACATTGTAATACCCGAATATAAACCCACTGTTATAATGCTCACGCTCATTTTTTGGAGTGTTTGGAGAGTGGAGTGGAGAGTTTTGGAGTGTTGAACAGCATCTATCATTGTTTAGAGCCTAGCAAACATGAAATCATTGTGTATTAACAATTCTTTCTGTTGTTAGCTGTATCATCCCCATTTCTCATCTTCTGCAGGACAGAGGGCTATCATGGGAACAAAGAGTTTTATGAAGTTCAGGTCACCACAGATCATCACCTGAAGACTGGCATTCAGTACAGCACTGGGGCCAATGGGCTAATGTGGTACTCAGAATATAACAAGGAAAATATCTAAACAGAAAGATGTCATGTTATGTTCTATGTTTTTAATTGATGCAACTTCTGCTGGCGTCATTATTATCAGTTAAAATCTCATAACTGGAAAAAAATAATTAGCTGGACAGGGTTCAGATTAGAACCACAAAAGTTAAACCAGAAAACATGCTTCATAATGAAAAACGCTGAAATTCAACTCTTACAACTTATCAACAGAAACATCTGCTAAACCAGTAAACCCTCAATTGCCACCTCTAAGCAAACATACAGGGAATAAAACTCAGAAGTGCTTCATCCTAACAGACACAGGAATACCAAAATTCAGTGGTTGTAGTGAAGGTAGATGTACTCAAAATAGAAGGCCCCTATTTTAACAGTAAGGATCATTCAGTTACTCCATTGATAGGAAATTTTAAAGTCAGGATAAAGTGGTGAGCATGAAAGAAATTAATACAGAAAAGTCCACATTACATAAAAACTGCAAGCATAATTGTAAGTATAACTGATGATTCTAGTCATGCATTTTATGGGTCTGGATGAAATGGCTTAGCACTGACACTGTACTTACCTAGTAGTGCCCAGGCAGACTTCAAGTGTAATTACCTAGCTTTAGTTTAGGAAAGCTGTAATTAGACAACAAAGCCTAGTGACATAAAAAAGAGAGTCTTTATTACATGGTTTTCCCTATCTGCTAGCAGCTTAAGAAATGCACATTGATCTACAGAAGCTGAGGCATCACCATTCCCCTACTCTGCAGTAAGGTAGGCACCCAGGGCTACATGAACAGAAAACCAGAAGAGATTTCACAGGGCGCCTGGAAGACTCCAACAGGCAAGTACCCATGAGACTGAACAACTCCTGTTAGTTAAAAATAGAACTTGGAGTCTTCCTATTTCCCTTTTGGCATCACAGCCTACAAAATGCAAAGGGCTAAAGGGTGTCAATGAATAAGAGAATAAGAGTGACTAATGCTTCTATTTTTGGCAGAGCTTAAGGAGGTGCTGTCTTTAAGTAGGCATTTCTTTGCTAATTCATTCAAGCTCCTTGTGTGCCAGAAGGGACCGCAGAGGCAGATGGCTAGAGAAAAAGCCATTTCAGTTCCATTCTCCATTTAATCCAATAAGGAGGAAAGGCAAACTGGATAAGATCCACAGAGCTCTGAGGGAGCCACTGTTTTACTGGCTAATTTTAACCTCAATCCTTCACTTTTTCCTTCATGGCTTTTTAAGATATAAATAACAAATCATCAGGTGATGGCATCTGCACTTCATTGTAAGAAAACACAAAGAGAATAGATTCCAGCTTCAGGAGACTAAGTCAACCAGTGCAATCCATTTTGTTTCCAAGAATTAAAAAGGCCACTATGTAAGAGTTCTGTCTGGTTTACCAGGTGAGAACGATCAAGTACAAGGCTTGTGGAGAGCCATCATTTCAGCAGAAAAGTGGAAGCTGGACCCAGATTTCATTTAGCCAGAGAGGAACCATACTGAATGGTAGCACAAAACACTGGAAAGGAGTGATGGCTGCCAGTATTAACGACAAGTCTCAGCCAGACTAGAATCACTGAGCAGGATTTAACTCTGAGAAAAGCTCATGCTTCACAGACTAGTCTAGCCAAGAAGACTAAGTCCTGCTACTAAGAGGATGGAGTTAAGCAAAATGTCAGCATCTGCTATATGCTTACCTTGAAACAAGAATAAATGGTTTGCACAGATAAAAGCTGCAAGTGCAGCTGGCTTAAGTGAAGCAGCTACAGCATGAAGCAGAGCACTTTGGCCACAAAGAAATCGAAACGTGCAGAGTCCTTTTCACAAAACCACTGCTTAGTTTCATTCACTGATGAGAGAAATAGACATCATGAGCTTTTCTCTAAAGACGAGTTACTCTGCTTGTTTTCTGGGTTTGGAATGTGTGGACAGTAGCCAGCAAGGTACAAGTCTTTCTGTGCTTTATGTATAGATTTTTTTGCAAGAGCAGCCATCGTACTTTTGAAGGTTTCTGAATTGCTCTGATGATCTGCTCATTACAAGTGGCCCAGGACAGCAGAACCATGTTTTCAGAAATAATTACTCTGTAATCTAGTCTTCATTATATTACATTGTTGTCAATCCTCCTGAACTCCAAGTGACACAAAGACGACACACAGTTGCTGATGCACAGAACAGAAGAGAAGCCAAGAGTAGGCAGCAGACAATTCCAAACACAAACATTTATTTGGCACTTCAATATATATAATTTCTTAAACATAAAAACCAACATTTAACAGCTGCCAGCACAGTAAAGAAAGGCAACACAAGTGTGCATGTATGCATACACTCCAGTAGAATGGCACATAGGTGAAGGCTGTGCCAGAATCCTGCAGAATTCTCTAGCTCAGCCTCCTCTGAGATCAGGCCCCTGCTAGGTCTTCACATCCAGGAGAAAAGGATGGAATCCCATAGCCAAAATATGTAATTCCAGTCCTGTAACAAATCCTGATGATATCCTGGTAGAGACTGTGACTTTTCAGTTTCTCATCAGCATCCAAGTAAAGCTCTCTTCAGGTGTCTCCAGTAGCAAAACAAGTTCTCCCTGATTATGCACTTCACCTGAGTTAAGGGCATGAGAAAAACTCCTCCTGAGAGGATAATGATTAGAGCTTGACGTATTCGTTGCTATTCCTTCTGGATCTCTTCACCTGCAATTCTCACAGCAAGGACAAATCTCTCCTCTGTGGGACACAGCCTGTGAAAGTCGGGTCAGGACATCGTGCTCCTTGAGCATCACCCTGCTTCCTAGCACACGCTGAGTCAGACATGCCACCAAGTGGTGAGTGCGCTGTCAACACAACATTAAAAGGCTGAAACCAACAAAACAGCTGATACCAATTAAATAGCATAATATTACTATTTCATTTTCCTGTTGGATTTCAGTAAATAATTTCCACGAGCAACTCAAGAGCTGCAAAGGTGGGAATCACTAGAGAGTTCGTGTGCATTTTTGCACACAGATCAGTATGCATGTGTATTTAGACACACAGATTTATTAATATTATATGGAGAACAAATGTGTATGCACATTAAATTTTACAAATCAGACATACACGTAGTATTTTTTTTGTTGTTTAAGCTTCAAATAGAGCATCTGAACTTCTGTTCAAATGCCTATAAGCCCCATCACTCCAAAGGGGCCATCAGTTATTTCAGTCTCCCAAATCTCTGTGATTACTTCTAGTTGGTTTTAAATTAATTCAGAACTTTTTCCTGCCTCACGGAGTCTTCTGAAGAGAGAAGCATTTTGAAACAAAGAAATCAGGCTCTTGTCCAAGGGGAGAAAGCGGACCTGAGCAGATTCACACTTGGTGATACACTCGACTTTTGCAGGCAATAAAAAACTGGGGGTGCTTTTCTCCAATTGAAACTTCCCTTTTTCAGCTGCAAGTTGAAGGCATGTCCTGAAGTGTCTCACAGGCCTGGCTATGCATCCATCCAGGGCTGTGTTAGCTGGTAGAGATCAGGCACCTAAGGAGATACAGACAACAATGGGAGAAGTTAAAAGAAGCAGTACAATGCCCATTTCGAGGTACAGCTCTCTATTATACAGTTAGTCATCCCATCATCACCAAATAAAGAGGAAAGAATGATATACAGGTGCAAGACCGGTCTTACAGGAATGCCTTAACACTCCACTAACTCTGCTTTGGGACACAATGAGCAACCATCAATAACGTAAATCTGTATTGCTCAGATAGGAAAGAAAAAAGTACTTAGAGCCCAGAAACAAGTTTCAGAGGATAAGGGTGGTTGCATACTTGGCTTTCTTTGCCTATATTCAGTTAGGGCTATTCATCCAAAATGGGTACGTGAACCTGGTCACATAATTAGAAACACACTGCCCTCAGCCCAGGTTTAGTCAGGGTCCTTCCACTGAAGGGCCCAAAGCAATCTCTGTTGGGTACCAAAAACTCTACAGAGCTAACCAACAGATCAGTTGATTAGAGCAAACAGTACTTCAAGAACACTTGAAGCTCTAAAATCCTACTATGCTTTCTTAAAAAGAGAGCAGAATGATCTATCAAACCTCTAAAAGACAGAACAGCTGCAAAACACAGGCACAAATGAGCAGCACATCAGCACATAAAGACTGACATAAGGTTTTAATACACATAGAGTACAAGCTTATTTCCAGGAGAAAAAGCATGTAACACTGCCATGCTGCAGCATTTGAGACTTTAGGAGGAAGAACAGAAGCAAATTAGTGGGATACATCACAAGCTTCACTTCAGGCTTTCTTTTGAGGACTTGGTTAGATTTTATTATTATTATAGGAAGTGGCTCATTTAATTCCAGCTATAATTTCTCTGTCTTCTGAATGCTGCTCCCAGCCCAGCTATTTTCCCACCATGCTCTTGATTTAAGGTACCTAATATTATAGTGCCAACATAATTCTGTGAAAAAAAGGGAGGGAAAGAGTCAAAGGCACACCTATAAACTCGCTCTGTTGCTAAACACTGTATTGCTAGAAAGGCTCCAAAACGCATGTGCATGAAGCCATAAGGGGCCACTCAAAATTTGGATGCACTCAGCAGCCAATGTGTTTGTTGTGATACAAACCCAACATAGTACTGGAGATGATCTCCAGTTCAATATTTGATCCTAAAATAGCTACAAAACGTGAGTTTATTTCTAAGGTGAGTTTTTTGAAAAGGTGAGACTTGCTACAGGATGACAGGATAATTTAGGCTGGAAGGGACCTCAGGAAGACACCTTTTCCAACTGCCTGTTCAAAGCAGTATCTGCTATGAGGTCAGACCAGGTTACCCAGGGCCTTATCCAGTCTGGTCTTGAAAACTTCCAAGGATGGAGACTATGTTATCTCAATTTCCACCATATCTGAGAAAAGTTACAAGACTTTCGGTGGATGGCAAACTTCTGCATATAACTGCAGAGAAATAGCATTAACTACAATGTGAAGTACCATAGGTCTGTTTGAAATGTGGTAATCAATTTGTAGGTTTTAATCAGTACTAATTTGGGACAAGTGAACTTCTCTCTCCTTTGTTCCACTTGTTTGATGGTGGACCAACCTCCCCCCAACATTCTTAGTCATAGAATTAGACATTTAATCTGTGTTAAAGTCGCCTTTGGGAGGCTCTTACCTTCGTTCAGATGAACTCTGATGACCTCATCAGGATTTTTTCTGCAAGTTCTTTGGCTGTTCCTGAACCAAAAGTGACTTTTTGTCTGATTAGAAGAATGTAATGGTGAAATCAGTGTTGGAGGCAGGAATTCAGGCAGCCACAGGCAAACATTAAAATGGCAGGATGTTGTAGGAGAAAACTGGCTTCAAGATCAATTTATGAGTGGAGTCTACTGACCCTCAAGAGATGGATGAGGTTTTGCCAAAAAACCTTTGAGCAGCAACAACTATTTGGAAGGTACATTTTCCAATCGCAGCTCAAAAATCAGACAGGAAACTTTCACTGGGGACTCAGACATTCAGCTGAGTGCACAGCTGCTCAGAAGTAACAAACAGGAGGGACACTTCACGTAAGGTGTTAAGGTGTTGTGCTACAAACTGCTTTCACCAGTGCTGAGCACGCATTTAAAATCACCACAGGCACCAGAATCCACTGCTGATCCTGAGCAGCAGCATTTGTGAACGCTCACTAACTGAAACGAGGAGAATGTCCCAGATCTTTCCACATAAAGGAAGTTGAGGTGCTCGGTAACACAGCCACCTCAGGAATCCAAAAACAACTGTGTAGGGAAGTGTAGAACTTGCTCTTGGCAGTAGCTTTGGCAATGTCAAGGCTTTGTTTTATAGGTGAGTTTCACAGCTTTTCTGCTGATCAGCAGGTTGAGTAATGACTTATATAGACTTCATTAATTTCTCCATACACTCAGTACTGAAACTTGCCTGAGTACTCTCTGCATGGACACTGACATCCACAGTCAAGTTTGTTAAACCTAAATTAACAGATGCAAAATCTCAACGCCTGTCTGTGAAAGAGAAAATACATTATCCACTGCAGACAGCACGTCTGGCTTCAAGACCAAAGTAATACTCAAAGCAAGCTATACAGACAACCAAGGCGATGCAGAAGACAGACATATCTTTCTGTACGTATGAGAAAAAGCAAGACAAATGCCAAAACTGACTCAAATAACAAGTCTGAATGCTTCTTCTAAAGCTACAAATGTATGGATTTCCATGGTCTAATTTTAAAATCAGTATTTCCAGCTCAGGCTTCTTATGCCAAAGAACCAACAGTAGAGGCAAGTTCTCTGTACGTGTAAGAGAAACAGCCCAGTTTGCAAATTAGCAGGTCATCTTCTATCCAGTTCAAATACTAAATACATCTTCATATGGATTAATGTCTGAATATTGATATTTTATGTACAGATGAACATTGTCCTATTCCACATGAGAAATCTGATTAAGAACAAATTAAGAATAAAAACAGAGCTTAGAATTTAATACTGTCTGCTAATCACTTTGTCTCAATGCAGTGCACATAATAGCCTTTCTTTACTGGACACACCAATAACAGAATTGGAAGTTGAACACATTTTCTTCTCCTGAAAAAAATGGATTTCTGTTCTATCCATCAATTCTGAACCATATACCACACAAAACCTATCTACTGTACAGCTGCTGAGGAAGCTCCTGAATGGAAAACAGAGAAGAAATGTAAGCAATGTTAATCCGGACTGTTATTCTACCTGAAAGAAAGGAGTGTTTTCTTGTTTCTGTGGCTATTCTAACAATGGTCTTGAACCTGGCAGCAGAGAGTTTAACTGGAAAAATCTAGAGGAGCAGAGCTCATTTGGCATGTTTATGGTAAGCAGTATCACTGTGTGTGTTGTTTCTCACCATTCTCCCTGTACAAATTTTCATTCCTGTAGCTCTAGTTCTGCTTGTGCCAATGCAATAAAAAAGAAGTACAGCATTGCCTCCTTCATAAATTTTAGCTGCCCTTCTTAACATACATTTTTTTTTCCATCCTTTATTATTTAGTACTTCAATTGTAGTATGACTTTGGAATAAAATGTCATGCATAAAACATCCTGCATGGAACAAAAGCCACATTGTAAGGCAACTGTGCTGATTCCAATTTCAATTGTAAAGTCACTTGATCTTACCATGCTTTCATGGAACCTCACCATGCTGGGGTATATCTCTAAACAGCTCATATTTACTGCTCCCTGCCCAACCACAGACTACAGACATTGATTTTCAAGAGGGTCTGCTGCACAACAAAAATCACTTCTAGAATGTTAAGCCAGGCCAGATCATTCAATCACACAACAGGTTTTGACTTAAGGTCAGGAGATGTGAGGTGAGGAATCCCAGTACTTGTATTATTCATTTAATCAGCATGTACTGGACTTGCAGAACAAAGAGTTCAGCTAATCCTCACTTCAGTTTGAAAGAAGTTCTCTTCTGGATGTCCCATATGTAGCCAGCCAAGCTTTTCACAGATGGCTTAATGCAGATGTGCAGAGTTATGAAGGCAATAAAACAGTGGAATACAGTAGTGAGAATAAAGTTATGAAAGGATATTGGCAATTGTTATTACTTCATATTAGCTTATTACAACCTTCATGGCCTAGGTGACAGAACTAGATTATCAAAAAGAGAAAAGAACAGAACATCTTAGAATAAAAGACCACAAAATCTATCAGAAGAGTTAAAAACAGACAACATACACATCCAAGCCAATGAATAGTTATTGACAAAGCACTGTCTGCATGCAAGTTAGCAGTCACGGAGATCAGATCTTGGCCTTTGTAAGTCACCGACCTGTTGTTGCCCTTCACTTCATCGAGCTCCTTCTGCAGCCTGGCACTCTTCTCCTCTTCCTCCTGAAGCTTTCTCTTTACCACACGGAGCTCCTGCTGGGCTTCACACTTAATGTCATTGGCTACAACCACTGCAGTCTGTAGATCAGCTTGAAAACGCTTCCATTCTTCTGTATCCTCCTAGAAAGAATAATTACAACCACAAACTGCTGTAAAAATGCCACTTGAGCACTTAATTATTGGCCTCTCTTTCAGTGATCAAAAGAGAACAGGATTTCAGCACAATTTCAAGATGTTGAGGTCAAACTAAATACCAGTGTCTTTACAGTTTTGACTAGATTGCCAAAGAAGTTGACAACTGACTCTAAACTCCCAATTCCAATTCAGAAAGCAGAATCAAGGTCCTTACTATAGCTATTGATCATTCAGAATTGTGATACTACAAGGATTGTTGCTGAAAAGAGCTCACTGCTACTGATGGTTCAGGAAGCAGGAACATGCTCCAAAGTAGCAGAAGTTCACTGGTAGAAAAATTAGATTATAGTTTACTTCACTGCCAAAGAATCAGCTATAAACAAGGAACAGAGAACGAAAGGAGGTATAACTTTCTATAATTGCTGTGAAAATTGCAATGCCTGAATGAAATCCAGTATTACAATAAAAGCTCAGCCTAGCTTGTCATGGCATCTGAGCCTTACCTTCATTTGCTTAGTCAGAGCCTTCAGCTGCCTCTCTATATCTTGTTTTTGCTCTTCCAGCTTCATAGTTTTACCTAGAAACAGTTAAAAAAAAGAAAAGCCTATTTGATTTTGCCTCTGGTAACGTCACTAACAGAGATTAAACGGAAATTATGATACTCTGTCGGTGGATCAGGAATAGGATCAACAACAGATCTGTTATTCAAATATCTCCAAAGCAGTTCATTATTTTGTGATACTAAAGCAGGCTTTTGAATTAACAGAGCTGCAAGTGCAGGATCACTTGTCAGTGTGCACGGTCAGGAAGCAGTTTAATACTGGTAAGTGAAATGAGCAACTCATTCCACCAGGTGGCAGCTCCTCTTCCACACAACAGCAGCAAACTCGACTTCCCAGTTCCTACTAGCAGTTTAACCCGGAGGCTCCTCAAAAGGCCAGTAACTGCAGGTTCTGGAACGGGTGATACATCTGTCGCTAAACAGCAAGTTTGGAAAATGTCTGTAACATTATTTCCATAGCACTAAGTGTTAAAACAGTGACTCGCACACGCACAGAAAGGATTGGTCAAAATACAAATAATTCTGAAGTGAGGCTCTTGTCACACATTGGGTCACACTGCCTCCTCCTCCTACTGGTTCTGGCCACATCTGAGCCTCCAGAATAAGTTCACCTAAACCGTTTTTTCATCTCCACCTACTTTCTAAGTCACTGATGATCTGGTTGTTGTGGAGTTTGATAGCACGATGTTGTTCCACCTGGTCCTCCAACTCAAAAATTGTCTCCTTTAGGTTCTTTATATCTGCTTCATTCTCTGATGTTTTTTCCTGCAGCTTCTGGCTGGTTCTGCTCAGTTGCTCAGCCTGCCGCTCACACACCTCCTTCAGCTGACCACACTCATTCTCAGCCTAGAAATAAGGAAAGAAAACTGCTTGACTGTCCTTATTTCTTAAGGGATATAACTTGTTAGATATTTCACTATGTCATGAACTTAAGAATGGAACCTGTGTTGTGAAAACCGAGTTTCAACACTAACAAGACAGTTCCAAGAAACATACACGAGCTATGAATGTCAGTGCTCTTTCCCAGACATAAAGATAACAAAAGAAGATACTAGGAAGGAAATGAAGTTTTCTATTGGGTGACTGTTATTCCAAACCACTCTCTGCAAGTAACGAACAGAAGAATGGTATTTCTGGAAAGCTCCAAATCTAATCATGTATTATACTATGAGAATGATAGAACTGCCTTAGGGATGAGAGTAATCAGTTTGTCCATATTAACAATTCTGCTGCTTTTACCACACGCCTTTCTGATGGATTGTGAAGCACATGTGGGAGAGCTAGCTACTACAGATAAGTATATTTTCTGGATATAGGACAGCTGGAATTACTGAAGGGGGAATACGCTGTACTTCAGTTTGTTGGCTCAGGCCCACAGATCAATGCTTCCAGGGTTAGGGGAGACCCCTGAACTTGAACAGCCTATGCAAAAGCAAGATGTAGGCTGCCAACTCAGCAAGCAGCACTGGCACAGGCTGACTGAAGGGCAGCCTTACAGAAGCCTGCGGTCTTGCTTGGGTGTGACAAACAGCCATTGATTCAAAACAGCTTAATTCAAGGGAAGAGCAAAAAGGAGGAAATCTGTGGTTTCAAAACCAAGCAATAAAAGTTCAGAGCAGAGTCTGAGAACTCAGCAGTTTTTCATTTATTCTTCACACACTCCAGCACTAGCAAGCACTCAAAAACACCAGGGAACTTCCTCTGCAACTCTGTTTGCTGTGGTCACCTATTTAAGCTGAAAGGACACCTGGATTTTCTAAAACACACAAACCATTGAGGTGCTTTTTGGCAGTGCTCTCTTCCTCTGCAGCTAGCCAGCTCTACAGTTCTTCCCATGACCCCTTCCCATACAGGAAAGGCTGCACACATTGCTTATCACTCCTTCTGCAGTGATGGGACATTAATCGCTGGCTGGCACCATATTAATGCTTGTTCTGTGACACCCTGCATTGCAACTCTCTTTGGAACACCCAGGATCAGACAGAAAATAGAACCAACGACTGACTTAAGCTTGCTTGGAGCAAAGCTACAAGCCACCAAATGACAAAGAGAAATCTGTTCCAAAATATATTTATTTTTTGCCATTACTTTGCCTATCTCCAAACACTACTTTTCAGTTTTGTAAAAATACCTGAAGTTTTACCAAAATAATCTCATCTGGAGCTTGACTGTACATCGTCACTGTACATATCAACTTCCCTGAGTATTAACTCATGCTCCTGTGTTTTTGTACTCAGTACCATCTATAATTCACTACTTTGTAGCTTGTCCTTCATCATTTATCAAAGCTTTTATATTTGCTGATAACTACTTAGATCCTCCTCTCTACCCAGACTAAAGAGTAACTTTCACTAATATTTGTTGACGTAATGTCAAAGTACATTTTCATTAACCTGTTCTTTTGCTTAGATTTTGGTAAGTATATTTCTGCTCACCAAAACTAACATATTCTGCAGAAGATAATAGATGAAATCAATTTTGAACTTACAAGCACAGTTTTCCTAACAGTTATTCCTGGGAAAACACACACATAGCAAAAGAAATAGAAAATACTGTAATCATCCCAGCTTCCATTCACCAGTAATGAATGCAATTGAAATAATTAGTACTGAAATCAGCTGATCAATAGCAATTCACAGACCAACAATTACTTATTTGTGGAAAGACAGATAAACAACTGTCACATTGTACAGCTGCTATGCTTTACCTTAGATAGCAGACCCTGAACATGCTTCAGTTCACTGTTTGCCTTCAGCAGATCTTGCTTAAGCTCAGTGCAAGATGCTTCCAGCTGATCCTTTTCTGCATGGGCTACTTTCAGCAGCTCTTGCACCTCAGAGTTGTCAGTAGTGCATCCCATGGCATTGATTTCTGCAGCCTTTTGTTTCTCATTCTCCAGCTGGGTTTTTAGAGATCCATTCTCAATTTTCAGACCTTCCAATGCAATTTTGCAGTCCTCCAGAGTTTTTGTCACTGTGCTGTTGCTCTGCTGTTCCACTTCTAGAAGTTTAAGCAGCTTTTCATTTTCATCTCTCAGGCCTTTGATCACCTGCTGGGCATCTTGATGCTCCCTTTCCAAGCTTCGTAGGCTGCTGGTTAATTGTTGCTGAATGTTGAGCAATTTCTCTCTTTCAAATTGTGCTTTTTCAAGAACTTCTGCACACTTCTGTTCCAGTTCGAGGACTTTTCCCTCCTGAGCTCTGCTTTCTTCACTCTTGGATCGCTCTTGGAGGAGAGTCATTAGCTTTTCATTTTCTTGACCCAGCTGTTCTGCTCTGTCTCTGTGTTGGCGAAAAGAAGTCTCCAGGAGAGCTTTCTCTTCCACCAGCTTCTCATTTTCCGCCGTCAGTTCCTGCACCATTTGCTGCTGATCAGACAGCTCCTGTAGAGTGGCTTGTAATTCTTCTGCTGTGCTGTGGTGATTCTCCTCCATTTTTTGTATTTTCTCCGTAAGAGATGCAACAGAAAGGTCGCTAATATTGTTTGGAGAACTTCCTGTAGTGGAGCATTTGGAACCTTTGAAGTGGTTGCTGTTGGAGGATGCTGGCCTGGAAGGTATATCTGCTATGTGTTCAAAATCAGACGCATCGGGTGACAAGGAAGCTTTAGTTACATCGCTGCTGGAAGAGGCGGAATTGCGCAGCGTGCCTCCATTCACTCGCTGCCTGTGCTCAACTGTTTCACCTCTCAGTACATTTTTTGATGGGCTTCCAAAGCTGGATTCTTGGGTAGTTGGGGTAGGGAGGCTGCTGTCACCGCCACTGCTTGTTGTTGTGTCTGACAGAGGAGAGTTCTCCAGATAAAGCAATTTCTCTTTCAAAACACGATTTTCTTCTCCCAGGCTAGCAAGCTCTTTTTGAAAAGTCCTGTTTTTTTCCTGCAGGGTCCGTATCAGTGGATCTATGTCAACAGGTGACAAGGTTTCTACATTTTGGTCTGAAGCACCCATCCCTTCAGGGTTAAGCGACCCTTTCTCTTTGCATTTCTTCAGTTCACAACGGAGTTTGGTTATTTCAGAATCTTTTGTCTTTGCTTCTGCCAGGAGTTCTTTAACCTGAGATTCCAAAACAGCCTTGTCACCAGTTTCACTCTCTTGCTTGGACTTGCTAGCGGGGCGCACATGTTTGGTAGGAGTTGGTGTGGCAGAAGAGGTGGGGCTGGGCTGAGTTTTCCTCGCATTGGCTTGGCCACGCAGTACAGCTCTCTCCCTTGAGACAGAGGATGATATTTCTCGGGGTGCTGGAATCCCTGTGCGCTTTGCAGTTGAAACTGTTCCTTGAAAAGAAAAAGATGAGGCAAAATGAGCGAGTTCATAAAGTAAACAAATCACACGACAACAGTACTAGAGCAGTCTTGGAAAAAAACACCTGAATGTTTGAATAGGTTTAGTCATGATGAGTGTGGATTCATGTTTCACAAAGGCTTGTACTATTTTGCATTTCCTCCCCTGCTACCTCCTGCAAAGGGAACACAATCTGCAGAAGTTCTTCCCAGTGTAATAATAGAACATGCAGATGCCGTGATACACAAACTGCAACCCCCCCAGTACCATGATGCTAATTATTTGAAAATGAAAACATTCTTTATGCTACACTTTGTGAGAAGAGAAGTTTAATCCTATTAGTTTCTGGCTGAAGTTTCGATAGTGTAGGAAAAAATATGATCCTTGATTATAAAATATATTATTTTCTGGTCACACGACTATGTTATCACACATCAAACTAATGTATCTGCAGTACACTCCATTTATGCAGGACAGAATCATGAAAAATGTTGGAAACCCTTATTCTGACTGTACTTTCATACATATGGACCCTCAAATAGAAAACTGACTCCAACAGTGGTATTGCAACAGTTTCTCAGAGCTGAACAAAAGATTTTTCACGTTATAAATCACATTCTCCATTAACATGGAAGAACAAGAGGAGCTTAGAAAATGGATGCTTTTCCTTTCTACTGTTATTTAGTATCATTATTTTAAACCTAGTAACAAAGCACTAGGTGATTACAAGGGAAAAGTTCTGAGCAGCTGATATTCTAGAAGACTTGAATAATGAATACGGTATCACAGGTAATGAATAAACAGTAACAGCCATTCTAACCTTGAAAGCATTAACAAACCGAATAAAGAAAAGAATTATGTTCAAGTTTCTGTTTTCAGGACCTTCCTCAAAAGGAAAGTCTTTAAGTACAGAGCCATAAAGTTTTGGAACATGGTACAACAAAGAGATACTGACTGATGTAGCGACGTAGACAGGATGCAGAAGTCAGTTAAGCAAATAGAAGAGGCTACCATTCCAGGGTTTGCAGTAAGAACAAGTTCCAGAAGCACTATGGGCTTAAATACTACAATCAGCTCCATCTCCCCACGTCTGGAAGGCTCATTTTGCTGACATACATGTGCAAAATTCACAGAAAATCAAAGGTCTGTTGAGACCAAAAGGGGAGCAGACCCCCTGCTGCACGGCTGCATGCCTACTGCCTCCCACAGCAATACAACTCGGCCAGCCTCCCAAAACATTCTCCACACACTGAGGAAACCTTAGCACAGTTTTGCAGTCAGTAAAGCAGGGCACTGATGGGTTAATATTATCACCACCAGTTTGCTCAGTATCTCTTTTAAGACTGCACTGGGTTTATAAAACCCACACAAACAGGAGCCCCTCCTCCTCTTTCCCAACAAACACACTCTGCAGCAGGCACAATAAACACCCAGAGACAAAGAGCAGCTGAAGAAAAGACCCCTGAACACAGTGGCTGTGCTGGGAGGAGAGCACAGAAAGGGCTCTGTGATGGCAGGGGCACGATAAAGCCTGAGACAAAGGGTCCAGTGTTTATGGGAAGAGATAGCGGGGACAGGCTGGCTGGAGAGCCAGCAGCCCACACAGCTTCCTTTAGCCATCTGCATCTGCAGGAGCCGAAGGATCCAGGCAGCACCGCGCTCCGCAGCAAGAAGTGCAACACAGGCAGAGAGAGGAGTTTGCTGCTGCGACTCAAATGGTGGCTGCTGCAGCTCCAGCCAGAGAACTCCTTCATTTGGGAGGGTCTGAAGGCTCTGGCCTCACTGCTCGTCCTGTTTCCAAACTCAAGGGCTCCCAACTGCCACAGCGTGTCACCTGTAAAATGTACTCACAGTGAGCTCACCACACAGAGCTTTTAGTATTGATGCAGCTGATGCTGAAAGATGAAGGACAAGAAGGGAAATGAACAGACTGATGTGATGTGGTGCTTCCAGCAGAGAAGCATCAGCTCAGCACAGAAGTAAAGGTTCACATGGAGATTCACAGGAGTACAGCAGAGAGCATCCATCCCTGGAGCAGACATTTGTACCGGAGTCCCAAGTAGAGAAGCAGAACTCAGACAAGCTATAGCCATACTGCAGATTGAAGATGTACAGTATACATTACATATGGCCAGAAATGCTCCTCGATGGAACCCAAGGTGTGCTTTTAAAGCTTTTCATTGTATCCCACTCTTTTATCCAATCCGAAAGGTTTTCCTACTGTTGTGATGCAAATTTATGACAAAGTGCCCCAAATAACTCATCTGCTTCTTGCAATGCTGAAGCTTATGCCTGTCCGCATGACTGTCATCTGGTCAGCACATGACAGGGGAGTGTTATATAAGCAGTGGGTAGCATTGACTAGGCAGTGTAACACACATCGCAACAAGAAAATGCTGCTACACACTGGTACAAATTCTGCAGCACTATGAGAAAAACCCCTTTTCCCCAGAGAAACATAGGAGCTCTGGTAGCAATGCCAGCATGCTTCTAATTGCCACCTGCTTACAATTGCAACATGATCCTGAGCAATGGAAGATGTATACATAAGGATAACTATCAAGCATACTTACCAGGGATTATCTGTACTTCACCAGGCTGCCAACCAGTCCAGCCATCAAGCTTACTCAGCCTGTCCCATGCGTTTTGTAAGAGTCCATACTCTGCTGACCTGTTCCATCATAAATCATAAAGCATTTGCAATCTGTCAGGAACCACTAATTAACCTGTGTGTTTTTTCTTGATATACAAGTGTTTCTGTATTTTCCTTTCTCCATCCTCCAAAACAGCTCAATAAAGTACTAAAAAGCCAAAGAGAACATAGAAAAGAGGCACCTCTCAAGGCATAAGCTGATCAGGAAGCACCAAAACAAGCATAAGCATGGATATCAAGTCTTTTTTATGGGCAACTCCCCCCTTGAACGACCTTGAAATTGAGCAGTGTAGCAGTTATTAATGGAACTGCCAGCCCCAGTCCCCGAGGCACTGTACTTAGAGCTGCACAGTCTCTCTGGTGACCATCAGCTCTACACTCTACCAGTTAAGGTCTAAAGGAGATTCCAGACAGAGCATGCTGCCAAGCTGCAGACCCTGTTTTAGAGCTGATTAATATGATTAATACTTCTTTATTTTTTTTTTTTTTTGCTCATGTTTTCATTTTGAAGTGGTTGGCATCTCATGGAACTGCGCTTCCAACGGAGAGTTTTGAGCAGGAAATAAACAAACATACGAACAAACAACCAAGAATTCAGAATCCTGCATCTCAAGGGTGACGATCTAGAAAAAAATCCCAAACCCTTAAATATCCTTCTGTTTGTTCAAATGCTGCTATGGTATCTCATTCGCATTTCCACCATTTATCTACCCTGCCTGCCCTGTTAGCACAACTATTGTCTTGACAAATTTGAGCACAGCTCCATACCACTGCTTTTACATCCAAACTCATTACCCATCTCCACCACCTCCAGTCTACAGTACAGTTCCATGTACTTCCCTTTGCACCATGTTTACTCTCCCATTCCCCAGCGCAGCACCCAGCTTGCCAGCGGGCTCAGCTTGTGTTCCTCCACTTCTGAAGAGCTGGGAATTATCCCCAAATAATCCATGGGAGTTATTTCCTGAAAATCTGTTTTGGACAAACTGGAGTCACTTTATTGTCACATTCCTCACTTTGGTGCCCAGGAGGAGCACTGAACTCCTCCATTTTCAGGATCTGCCAGATTTATTATCCAGGCACAAGGGATTAAACTTACATAGTACGTGTAATCTTCAAAATATCTTGAAATTAACAACAATTTAATGCTCAAATCTACAGATAAAGACAATTGCGACCTCTAGATTACAAAAGAGAGATGCACAGGAATGCCTTGCCCAAGGTCATGCTACATCAGTAAGGATTAGGCCCCCGGAGCTGCTGGCTCACAGCCTGCTGTGCTGCCTTCCTGCTCACCAGGGAACACTCGCAGCCTTTCAGCTGGCGTCAGAAACAAAGTGAAACTTTAACGAGATAAAAGTTGACCCCTCATGATGATCTTTAGCCATTTTAATCCCATTTGCAGCACAACTACATTGTATTGCACAGAAGGAAGGATCAGGATTGCTCTTCAATTTTTCCACATCATGCCTCTGATCTATATCTGATCTAAGCTCCCAGCACCTGCTGCATCAGCTCCCATAACAAGGAGAGAATGGAGAAAATCATTTCCTAACCCAGAAGGTGGGACACATCAACTGCTGTTCAGAAGTCAAATTCCTGCAAGAGGGCTAACGCAGTTACAGCACCAGCACAGCAAGGAAGGGGAGGTGGCAAACATTTTACCATAGGCACAGAGGGGTCACGTGTGACATTTAGGAGTGAAGATTCCATCGAGACTGTCAGTCCTCACGCTCTGTGTGCTCTAAGATATCATATCACTGCCTCTGCAGGAAAGCCTTGAACTTACATTTATTTCAATTGATTCTTAAGTAGCACTAGTTCAAATACTTGCTTCTCCAATCCCAGTGCAGAGGAAGTATCTCAGTTGGGAACTGACTTCATCTGACCACAGAATCACCTTGCAGTAAGTTCTGATTTCTCTATTGAATCTATTTTTTAGAACTGGAGTCACTACAAGACTATTTTGCCTCTGGTCTTTGTGTCACTCGTGTCCCACAATCTGCCCTTTTCTTAATCCTGCCCTCTATCAACATTCTAATAACCCAAAGCTTAATGCCATGGACTTCAGTTCTTCCAAGGATAAATTAACATGGAAAGTTCCATTTGTAAGCTCTTCCCAAATTGCAATCCCGACAACTCTTAAACTAACAACAGTACAAGCATGCAGTTTCTTCTCTAGCATGTTTAAAAATCCATGTTAATAATTCATGTTTCCATAGCTTGAGTAGGAACAGAGTTCATCTATGTAATTTAAGCACGCTGATCGCTGATTCACTTCAGAAAGCACTTCAGTCATGTAAGTCTAAACCATGAAGACAGGCACATTTTTGGGTGTGA